CCGGCGGGGCCGAGGGCCTGCCCCGGACCGTCCGCGGTCGCCCCAGCCTGGCTGGCGGTTACGTAACGTCCCGGGCACCGGGCTGCGCCGGGCGGCGAGCGCTGCCTTCTCCCGCCCGGGACCTGGGGCGCGCGGCCGCCGGGCGCCCCCGGAGCACCGCTTCGCTCTGCTGGGGGTCTCGAGGACCGCGCTCCCCTCTGCGTCTGTTGGTGGGGTAAGAGAGCTCTAGGCAAGTACTGCTGCTCCTCCGGTTTGAGCAGTAGTTCTGAATCTTTCTAGGACTGGCTATGTGGAGCTGTGCAGTTGAGTCTGATGCCGTGTGCAGATGTGTTTTGTGTGTTGATAAATTCTTTAGTACTTCCTAGAAAGCAGAATGGGAGAACTGTGTTGACAACTAACTCGTGACTAAAACTTCCCTTGTATGAAATCTTTATTCCTTGTAATAAACAGTTTATAAATCCTTCAGGCGTAGCATGCTTTCACAGTAGAACTTAGGCGCAACATATTGTTACCACACTAAGAAAAAGCCTTTGTTAAAGAGTGCTAAAGACTGTGAAGTAGAGCCTCGTACCCTTCCATCTGCATCTTTAATGAGCAGTGACATAAGCTTTCCCTCTTCGTTGTGTATGGTCACCTGTTACTTTGTCCTCAAGTGTTTTCAGTGTGTCTCATCTATGGAAGACTATATTGTTGTATTCTTCTTTTCTATGGTCTCTGAAAGTGGCACATTTAATTACAATCTCAAGCTGTGGGGTTTTTCTTTTCAACTTTTTTCCTTGATGGAACAACTGTCATAGCTTTTCTTAGCAGGAGGGAATCAGACCTATGGTTACATTCCTGGAAGATTTCTGAAAGTTTCCCTCTTGCTGTTTGCTCAAGGCTCTTGACAGTTCTCACTGCTTTCTATTTAAATTTCAGGTGCAGTCATTAGCATGCAAAAATCATGAGAGTTGCTGCTTTTTAAAAATTGTTAAATTTGTTTTTTTTCTCCTATGAATGTAGATGGTGATCATTAATGATATAAAACTTGGTGCAGAATTAACTAACTTTTGACTCTTCCCCTCCCTTCCTCTAGGATATATTGAGTTAGTTATTTCCATGTTAAATCATGCTTTTATTTGTAGTGAATATGCAACCTTAGGTATATACTTCAATGTTTTGGAACTGCAGTAATGGATTAAAAACTCTGCTGTTTTTAATGAATTACTTTAGGCTTTGTTTTGTTTTGTTCTTTGAAAATGACTCTCTCCTTGTTTTCTTCCAGGCCTAACGTTACAGTTTCTCTGATTGTGAGCGTAAAGACCTGAAGTTGAGGTGAGATGTGCTGAAATTTTATATCTTTGTGGGAAAACTTCCTCTGAAGCTGTTATGGAATTTACTAGAAAGAATGAGGAAATTTATAATTGTTTTGCTTTCCTCTCTTCAGTGTGAAAACAATTCATGTTTGAGAAAGGAGGAGTAATTCAGAACAGAAAACTTGTATGCTATGGTTAACTGGTTCCCATCATCCGAGAATCTGTTTTCCCACGGTGTGAAACTTGTTCAGCATCGGGATAAAGGATAACGACTCTATGGATATACAGAATTCTTCACCATGGTAAAACTCGCCAACCCGCTGTATACGGAGTGGATTTTGGAGGCGATCAAAAAGGTAAAGAAACAAAAACAGCGTCCTTCAGAGGAGAGGATATGCAATGCGGTATCTTCGTCGCACGGTTTGGACCGCAAAACTGTTCTGGAACAGTTAGAGTTGAGTGTTAAAGATGGAACTATTTTAAAAGTCTCCAACAAGGGTCTCAATTCCTACAAGGATCCTGATAATCCTGGGAGGATAGCACTTCCAAAGCCTCGGAACCATGGAAAGTTGGATGGTAAACCAAACGTGGACTGGAATAAACTTATCAAACGCGCAATTGAGGGCTTGGCCGAGTCTAGTGGCTCATCCTTGAAGAACATCGAGCGCTTTCTGAAAGGTCAGAAAGATGTGTCTGCATTATTTGGAGGTAGCGCTGCCTCCATTTTTCACCAGCAATTAAGATTAGCTGTCAAACGTGCTGTTGGCCATGGGAGGCTCCTTAAAGATGGACCTCTGTACCAACTCAACACTAAGGCAACCACTAATGCTGATGGGAAGGAGAGCTGTGAGTCTCTTTCCTGTCTCCCTCCAGTGTGTCTCCTTCCCCATGAAAAGGATAAGGTAAGGCCTTATATGCACCAGAATTTTCTTGGCATTGATGAACTATGTCAATACAGAGTTATGATTTGAGGTCAATTTGTTTAACTTGCACCTTGTAGTTTAACTTGCACCTTGTAAGGTAGAAGTGACCAATGTGCTTTGAGGATCCTGCTTTCTCCAAATTTCTGAGCACGATCAAAGTGGGTAAAAACTCGCGCTTTAGACCTGAAAACTGCAAATGACCTATTGTGAGGAACTTAACGTTTATGTTTCTATATGGTGGAATGGAATGCATGATGAGAGGCTTACTAGAGTTATGTTAGCAAAACATGGGAAGTAAACCTTCACACTTTAAGGTGAGGTGGATTTGCAAAGCAAACTTGAGATCATCTTATTTTCATGTTTTTATCAGACTGCCAGCTCAGCTTCTTATCTGAATACAGATAACATAGTGAAGCCCTGGATTAGCATTTGGGCCCTAATACTGTGTTAGCGGCTTTCTGCATTAACAAAAAAAATTCAGTTTTTGTTTCAGTACAGATTTGTTGCAAAATATGAAGTAAAAGTACATAGGATATAGCAGTTAAAAGGAGGACTGAAATCAGGGGATGTGGAGAGCAAGAAAATGTTGGAATTAACACTCGTGAACTTCTGCTCCCTTTTGTGTGCCCCACAACCTTTGGGTACAGTTTATAAGAAAAAGTAAAACACTTTGCTGTTGTGTTTTCTCTTATTTTTATGCCTTTAGTCTTCTTTCCATCCTTTTGAGTGCAAAAGATTTTACCCTCCACTACAACACTGAGATCAAGTTGTCTGAGTGAAACTGATACTGTATCTTTCCTGTCCCTGCTAGGCTGCTGTGGTTAGAGTAGTAGAGTAAAGCTGAAGTCTGTTCTTTGTTTATTGTAGACCAAGTTGCCAGTAATTCATACCTTTGCATTACAAGTCCAGAATTTAGGGAACATGAAAATTGTTTTGTCTGTCCATAGAAATGGATACGTTTTTCAGCCGTGATGCGGACTTTTTGTTGGAAATATCCTCCTCAATGATGAGTTCTTTAAGTGTGGGCTGCTGATGCTTTTCAAATCAGTTTCACTCTCCAGAGAGAGTGCTGCTTTATGGTCTATTAGAGACTTATGGTCTTAAGCGCTGTAGGAATCTTCTTCCTAAAAACCTACACAGCTGCTGTATCGCTAGTCAAGGTTCTTTTGTGTTTTAATTGTGGAAGCATTACTGTGGTCACAGCAACAGCGGTGTGCTGTGGGCTGTTGGAACACAGGATTAAATATTACTATGCTGACAATTCTGTCGGCTTCTTCTATCCTTTTTTAAGTGCTCTTTGTACATATGTTTCTTACGTACTGCTCCAACGATATCCACAGTCAAACCGGTATAGTTATAAAATGGCATGAAAACTGGTTGTAAACAAGCCTGGCACATGTGGCAGCTGGATTGAGAGTGGTATTAACAGTGGAAAATATTAAGTGTGCACATTTTTATTACCCCAGTATGTTTCACAGCCTGTCCAGTTTTCTTGTAATGTGCCAAAACTCAGGACCAGTATGATTTTTCTTTCAGACAAATTGTTCTATGGGGGCTTCTTAAGATGGGTTATGTCAGA